GACCCAACGGGTCAGAAAGTGCACAATGGGTCAGAAAGTCGAGTTTCTCTGTTTCCCCTCTTCCTCTACGCCCCCGGAGTTTTCCGGGATTGATTCATGTACTACTAGCGCGTGTATAAACAGAATATCTAAGGGATACGTGGAGGGGAAGTAACAGAGAAACAGTTGCCGGTCCATCAAACCCAAGGCTATAGGTGTAAGTGCCCGTGGTTTGGCGTGCGCGCCGGTCTCAGAACCCCAGGAGAATTTAGGGGGTCTAATGGGGGATGTATAACGACTTTTGCCTCCTAGGAATTTCTTGCCGGGACATGGTCGCAGCGTTCTAGTCCCCCGCGTGGCTCATGATCATCGGCGCGTGAGCACGCACACTGCTGCACCCCACGAGCGCTCCACCTTTACCGCGGTGCCTCGTTCCCATCTCCGCATCGCGCGAGCGCGAAGGATCGCCGCTGGCGCTGCAGCGTCTAGCGCCCCCGATTCACAACACCCACCACATCCCCGTGCACACGCGCCTTGTTCATCGCGCGCCGTAGCTACAATTCCTTGTGGATTCGGACACCCGTTGGCGCGCTCTGTGGCCACTACGTACCACGGGTCGCGCTACGTATGCGGCTAGGTGCATCGCTACGTTTTGAATAAAACGACATCCAATGCAATTGAAAGGTGATATACTTACAATAGAAAATCACATTTATTCTATGATTGATTCAAGGCCTGGCGCTCAAAGAAAACCATTATCTGTTCCTCGGTAAGACGCAACTTCTCGTTGTCCATCAGTGGTGGATGCGAGCATCTACAATTCTTTCTGCCACCTCTCCCCGGACACTCGTGCCGCTCTCGACAATAACTCTTTACGCAGACCGCACAGCTATCTGCGGGCTTGGACCTGCCGAATACTGGTGGAGCAGCACCCGGAAGCAGCACTTGATAGTCTCGGACCATACTCTCATGGCATCCCAATTTGGGAACCCTGTCATGAGTCTGGGCCTATCCCAGCTGAATAAGCGGACCATTGCGCTATGATTTCAAATTCAGATTGTGCACGGACATTCCCTGGGCATCGTTCGCCAAACCTTGGATAGGCAATCTTCTTAGATATAATTTGAATGCTTTCTGTCTTCTTAGAATTGTTTACCAGCGCTGAACGACTGCGGGCCAGGATACTGAACCTGGCGGGATATACCGGTGTGGCAGTGCCACCCGAAACGGACATGCACATGCATCGTTTATATCCTTTGGTCCAAATTTGAGGCGGCAGAGCGGATTCACACCGTGAATGGTTGAAAGCAGGTATGCGGAAGAACCCAGCAATCCGATCAAATTTGATAGCGCAATGGTGCGGCTATTCAGCTGGGATAGGCCTAGACTCTCATGACAGGGTTCCCAAATTGGGATGTCATGAGAGTACAGTGGTCCGAGACTAACCAAAATGATGATTTGCTGGTCTGCGCCAGAACAGTATCGCAAGGGACCGGACGGTGGGTAGTGTAAGGCTGAAAAAATGCGGCAGGGGGTAGGTTGGAGCTGCTGGGTTGGGGGTTTCCAGCACGGGCGCGTTGCACAGCAGGAGCAGATACAAGATTGTTGCCTGGAGTTTCAGTTCTTGCCAGTTTTGCTGCTTTGGAGGCATCTGTCGTGCGGCCAGCATTGCCTCATGACACACCCCACCCTCTCTTGGGCTTCTCGGACGTTTTATCCTTCATCGGCGCGGGGAGTGGTCGACGTTTAATTTAACCATAAGTAACGCGACACGACGTCACTTTCGGAACCGTGAAGACCGCGGATCAGACCCAGGTACTTTATCGGGCCTCGTGTCTCCGGACATGCGAAATGAACCAATACTTAAATAGAATCGTGGATCGAGCGTCCGTTCGTTTCGCTCCTGCGTCCACAGCCCGCCCCACGCCATGACATCCCCCGATGCGCACAGGTACGGAACCTCCACTGCAGCATCCACCCAGCCCATTAACACAGCACGGAAGCACATGGGTCATTTTAGCATTAATACTACCTGGGGCCGGTCTTACAATCATCGTTCTCGCGCTGTGCGCATACGCGGCGTGGAATCCCGTGTCACGAAAACATTTGGACCGTGTCAGCTTTCGCCTTCTGGTGTATGCTCTCCTCGCCAAGTGAGTGATTTTACACCAACACCCAACACCCAACACCCGCGCTGAAACACAACCCATGGTTCCCAGCCTCATCTTCGGCGTCGTATTTCCCATTGGTATGCTGGATGTGCATCCCGGTTGGCAATGCGATTTCGTCTCATTCCTGCTGAGCGTACGTCAACTCGCTCAATGTCAACCCCTCACCTCACGCGCCTACCAACCCGCAGCTGAGCCTTTTGTTTTCGGCGGGCATGTTCTTCTGCATAGGGATTAATCTCCCGTCAGTCCTCTGTCGACCCCTAGGTAAACTGAGAAGTGACACTTCCCAGATTGGTGCTCCATCACAACGTCAACGGTCAACGAATGGAGAAATATTACCTCATTGGAACGGCGGTAGTCTCTGGCGTATGTAACATCGTTCCATACGCATCTGGGCATCTTGGGTCAGTCCCTTCTACGTGGACGTGTGGGATGCCCAACTAAAATGCAGGACCGCAAAGATGGGATAGGATCAACCATACCTGCAGGTATCGCAGTTTTGACGAGCCGTCGAGGATGGGTTGGTTCATCGGAACGCAGACAGTCTGGATTCTGCTCGTGTCATTCGGAGAAGTTGTCGCATTCCTGATCATGGTTAGACATCTCGTCGCATACGTGCGTATATTTATTTACCTTATCCTTCTGCACACACACTGACCGATATCGAAGCTGGTGACGAAGAGTCGCTTTCGCGAGGCCCGCAAACTGAGCGCCACGTACTCCTCTTGCGCCTCATTATCTAATATTAACACATTCCGCAACATAATTATCCGCATCGGCAAGCTCCATTCATCTCTCGCAGACTCTCAACTTGACCGGGATCACAACCAGGCTTGTACCCCTCGTTTCCTGTCTCCTGAACATCTCCACCTCAGTCTTGGATCTGTATATACTTGACAACCCTGTACAGAGGGATCCTCGTACGTCTGACCCCTGACTATGGATCAATGGTCTACAGATTCTCATCTAATATATTAGAATTCGAGATTAAATCTCATGGGTGCGCTGCCATTTCCCATTATTCGTACATCTAAAGAACTTCTCACCCCAGATCTCGTGTTATTTTCCTCGCGCCCACTCATTTACGGCCTTCTTGCCGCTACGGATCCAGTACGTGTCTCATTTCTCTAATGGCCTTGATTTAAACGGGACTGATGTACATCCGAGTCGCTCATCCGCGCCTTGCGGGAGCTGTACCCCAGGTCAAAGAAATCGAAGCGACCTGGATCTGGATTTAAGCACGCGACGACCGACACCCTGCCTTCACTACGATCCTCGATATAGGCTGTCGACGAGCGACTTGCGAGCACTGAGTACGGGAATCAGGAGGATGCTGAAATCCTTGGAGCTGGGGCAGACACTAAATGCCGATACTCCAGGGCATGAGGGGTATGGGGGCAATGCGTCGGACTCTACCCTTCCCAACCACGGGACATCTGAGATGGACGCTGTCGTCTGTCATATTTAATCTACACTTGATCTACACCTTACTTACTCTGCGAGAAATCATCTTCATGCGGATGATTTACCGAGGATGCAGGAAGATTTAGCGGTAAATGGAATCGACTAGAACTCAGGAATGCAGGTATGCAGCATTAGCCGCGCACGGGCAGCAGCAGGTGCCTCTCCTTGCGGGCGCACTGAGCTTCATGATCCTCACCGTAGCGTGGTGGGGTGCGTCAGCTTGGGTCTCCCATGTGGTGCGCACACCTTGTGTCTAGCGCTATCGACCTCTGCCCGCGGGTTCCGAGTTGTTGAACATACTGGTCACTTTTCCCTCGGGCCTTTGTTTTCTCAACCACTGCTACTTCACTCGAAGCCAGGGACTGGGCCATGCAGTATGAATTCACCTAGTAGAATTTTTTCATATGCGAAGAGGGACACACAATTATATGGTTATTGCATCGAATTTTCCTTGGCGCCGCGTGAGTACGGTTGCAGCTGGTAACTATCTGCATGAATGGCAACAAATGTGCCTCTACGGTAGTTTGCTTTGGTGGTAGTTCACTCTAACGAGACTTCATCCAGCTGCCCTTCATCCACATGCTCTGCGGTACCTGATTTCTCAACTGCGTGCTGCGATTCGACCATCCGTATGGCTTGGAAACCATTATCTGAATGCTGCTGCGATTCCAGATCATCGTAGACACCATCATCCTATGCGTCCTCAACATCCACGAATCTCTCGCGGATGAAAGCCACTATGCCCGCAGTCTCCTTTCCTCGTTGACCACCTTCTGTTCGGATTGCCGGGAAGTCCTCGTGCCCCTTTTGAACGAGGCCCCGCCGTTGGAATATATGTAGAATCCCCAGCGCAGAGAGTGGGCTTCGGTCTTGGCATTTTCATTGTAAGATGACCATGGGGAAGAATGAGTCGGACCGTACCAAACAAGAAGTATACCAGATTTGCTCCGAATAGAAAAACGAATGCGCCGTTGATAAATGTCTAGAATCCACCGAGGGTGAATATCCCAGCGATGATAGAGGTGTCTGTGTATTCTTGCAGGAGTTTTGATGGTTGAGAGTTCAACCGAATTAGTCGTATAGTAGCCGTGTCCAAGCCGGAACTCGGAGCCCGCTGCCCTTGGGCTGGGTTAAACTTTGGAGCGGGAGGCCTGGGTTCGATTCCCAGCGTCCGAATGTGCATTGCGAGGACTGTCTTTTTACTCTTCTAATTACAACAGATCCACGATCCTTTCGCTCTGTCGTCATTCAGCCTTGCAACCGGGGATCTGCATTCTAAATCAACCGAGGACTCGCTTCTGGAGCGGATTTTGGGTTGTATTCCCCGGCCGAGTGGGTATATGATTGTTACTTACATTGATTCAAGTATGCAAGACAAAAAGCAAGTCGGACGTGGTGTATGATGCACGCCCGCTTCTACCTGAAAACCTGGAAATAAAGCGGGAGGTCTGGGTTTGACTCCCAGTGTCCGAATTGGACTCAGATATTCATCTTACCTTTTTCTCTCTTGGAACTTGGGCATCAGGATAAAGAATCCTCTCGGTCTCAAACCACGTACGTACCTACCTGCAACCCGAGGATCTGGATTCATATGCCACCCGATTGACGAGAACTTGGGCGTGCAGGTCATGCTAGGTTAGATTTTGCTTCCGGCCGGGGGCTTGGGGCGGATGATTGGGGAAGCAGCTATGCAGGTACAGAGGAAGATGGGACTTCGGATGTGGTGTATGGTGCCCCCGCTTCTATTATCGCTTTAGGTTGGCATATTGTGGGAGGCCTGGGTTTAACCCCGCGTCTGAATGTGGAGATGGTACTTTTTCCCCGTTCGTGCAACCCGCTCTTAGACCACCTCCGGGTATTGATATTCCCTCCGAAACCCGGCGATCTGAATTTTCAACCTGCCCTTAGACTTTGAGATGGGATGATGTTGGGTTTAATTTTCCGCTGCGCGCTTCTCAGACTCGTACAGATTATTTTTGAAGCAGGGATTCAGGTACACAAGGTTGAGAGGAAGTCGCAGGTGGTGCACGGCGCACGTCCGCTGTCCATCAGTGGGGTCCCATCGTTTTCCGGCGAGATCACTAGCTCTGAGACTCCTAGCGTCCGAATACGGCGGTGTTTATTCTTCATCCTTCGTCTAAACAGCTCTACATCGCCATCCATCTCCTCCCTCTATCGTTGAACACCAACCTGCCCATCAAATTTCGGTCACATCGATCCCCACAAACCGGGTGTCAGGTGTGTTGGATCCGCCAACGCAGATTATAATATAGGTAGGAAAGACGAGTACAACTATGTCTGGGATAACTGGCAGCGTATCGAGTATAGTAATAAATAAACATGGATATCGACTAGTCGAGCTTTGTGCATGTGCCATATTCCCGGAGCATCTGTGCGACAATGCAAAGTCCCCCAATCGCAGGAATGCCGCCGATGCAAAGTGCCACTACGTTGAAGGCTGTCCCCATTCGATTGGATGTGAAAAAGGACAGGCGGCCGTAGATGGATCCTGCGACTAGCCAAAGAACTGTCCACACTCTCTGGGCGGGTGTACCCTGGGTGCCTTCCGCATGGAAACCTGAGAAGGTAAATAATACTATGTAAGTGGTCCAACTAATCCAGAAGAGAAAATTGAAAAGCAGAAAAAAACCTGCCGGGTTTACAGGTAGGTCCCGTAGAAATCTGGGAGGTAACCTGGAGAGCTTGCGCAGGGCTTCGGACTGCCGGAATTGACCGCAAGAAGGAATTACAATCATAGGCCCCTCGCGAAGTGGGTCATCTGATAGAAGGTCGAAATAGTACCCCGAAATGTTCAGTCTTACGTGGCCATCACCCGATTTATCGTCCTGGTTGTCCCAGGTCCACGATGGCTGAGAATGCGCTTTCACAGAGGCGCGGCACTTCGGGAGGCTCAGCGATCACAGGCAACAATCTGCCGACCACCCCCTCGAATCTAGCGCCTGGTCGCTCCGTGCCTCCATGAGGGTATCAGACTGCACCAGATACACTTTATCGAACTCTGGTGTCCCGAGGGCGCCAAGGAGATTGACCATCGACATCACGGCGTATGGCAGGACAGTGAGTCCAAACGCGGCATCTCCGTAGCGTGAAAGTTGATCCCCGCGCGTCGCATAGAATGTGTAGAACGCGTAGACGGCCTGACCCAATGTTATGAGTCCTTTGAGTACATCGAAGCTGGGGGGAGGTATGATATATGGGTCGTTCTCCTCGAGAGCCACTACTTCGGCTCCGTGCGGTACGAAGGCAAGGGCATAGCCGGCTGGCAGAGTTTTATTCCCGGATATCTTCTGGCGGCTGCGTTGGTCCTCAAGAAGTCCGGGAAATATGAGCTAATGTCCTTCAACCAGGGTGGAAAATATATCCTATATGTCCTACGGATTTTTGACCTGCGTGTTTTATATGAAAAGCAGCCCATGGTGAATTAGAATTTGCTTACGGATGGGCCCCAAAGATTTCGCGGAGTCTGTTCACAGAGCCTAATAAAATTCCAAAAATAAAGGTCAACTTAGGACAAGGGGGTCCAAGGATAAGCATTGGCCATATGGGGTTGGGTAGGTTGGTTGGGCCTCGGCCGCCAGAAAAAAAAATTGTATGTACTTTTATTTTGCCTTGATATGAGGCCTAGAACCCTCTCACGACTTCCCAAGCATACTGTATGCAGTTCTGACGGGATATCACTGTCGTCAATAGTTTGGTTGGCTGTAAATATGGCCAACATCACTTTTGAACCGCTTCCCGATCAGGCAAGTCATCATGTGATCCTCGAAATGGTCTGGATTCTGGACCAACGCCGATGTCTTTTCCTTCAACTCGCACCAATTTCGGGATTCAACACCGGAATGGACTCCGACATGCCATCTGAACATCCCCTAGCTCAAACAGATTCTAGCGGCAAATTTGAGGCTTAGATAAGCGAGTTCCTACGGTAGGTTGGTAGGTTGTAAGCCCGAAAGGCCGTTTCAAAAAAAAATTGTAGGTGATATCATATTTTCTTATCGTTGGACCCCCTTGATTTAGAAGGACCTACGGAGTATGTGGGGTGATGAGCCTAGCCAGTTTCCATCACTTCCCTATCACGCTGGAGAGTGCATTGGAGGATCGACCAGGAATGGTAGACCTATCCTGGAGCTAAAATACATTATAGATCCGATTTGATAACTGCACGAGCAACTCACGAAGCTGGAAGGTGTTATTCCAGACCGGTCTCTACATAGTAGTGCATGGAGTCGGCGGTGGAACCTTAACCAGAAAAGTACTCTCCGGGAGCGGGCATGCCGGTGACAATACTCACCAGGGAAGGTCATCATATCTAGAGAAGCCCTCAAGGTTACCGCCACGTGGGATATTTCAGTTCCAGGGAGGGGCTTCCAGTCTTCCGTTCGAACCACCATGCAGAGTACACCTGAGCGAGCGGCCACTTCCAGCGAGCTCCCACCGAAGATTGATGCACCGAGGAAACCCCCGCGGGAGATGGCAGCTAAACCGCGAAACATGCCGCTCGTTGGGAGCAGGAATGCGGCAACAGCTCCCCAGACAAGGTCGAAGAATGAATCTCCAGGATAACGCCTCACGGTGACGGCATGGGCCAAGTAATTAGCGAGGAAGAAGAAGATTGCGATATCCAAGTCGCGGGTCGGTACACAGAGTAGACGATCGTCGCCGTGCTGTGATGTTCCAGGCGGGACAATGATGGTGATGTTTTGCAGCGGGATGGACGCAGTCCACCCTAGGAGTGGGAGGAATAAAAGAATTGGTATGGGAGTGACGAAAGAGGAAGGCAGACGGGGCATGGTGTGAATCGTTGATACATCGTTCTAAGCTGGGCTGACATTTATATGACGACGAGGACCACGAGTTCTGTTGTTCCCAGTCCGAAGCTATCGCCCAGGAGTTCCAGACAATGAACAAGGGACAGTCCGAATTTAAAGCTATGTGGGTGGAGAACGGCGTCAAATGTTGATTTGGTGGGTCCAACGGCGTAACTTCGGCACGACAAAGTGGTAAAGCCGATGGAAGGGGGCCTAATAATGCCGAGTGTACTATATGTACTATAGTATTGCATGCGCGCGCATTGTACAACTCCCTTGTGCGACCCAAAGATTTGACCCGTGTAGAATACAACAGCGACGCCTATGATTTGTAGGATTCAACCCATCTCTTGCAAGTGGGCCTTTCGATTGTGGTCCAAACATCATCCCTATTCAGAGACGACGACGAGTCATTGTTCTAGTCTTGTTATTTGTTCGCCGATTTGGATAGAAAGACATTCAGAAGATCAGTTCTTGAATAGACAAATAAGCACGGCTGCCGCATGGGTGTTTGGTAGGTTTACCTGAACGATGTGTCTGGAATACAAGGTAGATCCGCAGAGAAATGAGCAAAGACTTTGGTATTTACGTTGTGCCTCAGCTAGCCGGCCCTGCGATCCAGTGAGCACATGATGGACCTTGGTCTTCGAAATAGACGCTCTATTTTCCCACGAAATGTCAGAGGATACACGATATGAAACACCGTTTACCACGGCGTAGGTGGAGATGCGGCCTTCCACAGGAGAACAAAAGTCGAGCGTAGACGCCGCGAAGATAAGTATTCTTGTCGGCGCTAGATTGAACAAGGGAGGCCTGATCAAGGGACAAGACGAAAGTCTGTTCTGGTGCGCAACAAGCCACAATCAGCGACGCCACCGAGGAGGGGGAGTGGAGTGGGACCAAGGAAGCAAACGTCCGCCAAGATTCAGCGATAACCGAGACTTCTTGGAATGATGAATGCAATATCTTCGTAAATGGAAATGCCGCGCGCGCTGAGGCGCCTCCGGAACAAAGGAATGATCTCACGGAAAGTCTGGGGATACCACAGTCTCCTACCCAGCCGCGGTTACGAGGTTCATCATTCTCAGTAGTGGGTTTTTAAGTGGATACAGAAAAATGGCTTACAAAAATATATGACAACGCGTGTGATGTGACGAAATATGTGACTCAAGTTGGGGATGAACCTCTCCACGGCGGCTGGCACAAAACACTTGTCAACAACATAGCCACAATTTTCTGAAATCCGAAAGAAAGACGTCAAGAGGTCTTCCTCATTCGAAATAAAATATTTTTAAAGCTCTAGTCCCCTTATATACAGCTCCGAAGCTGCCCTTAAAAGATCTGGGGTCAAATATGCCGATAAGAAAAGCCAGTACAGCAAAAACCCGTCGAAGTGTGGTTTTCTGTGAATAAGCTGGAATAGACTGGGAAAAAAAATGAGAGAAGCAGCACCAAGGCATTCTAGGCTGATTCCAAGGGCTAAGACACATCAGCGCATTTTTTGTGGTGCGAGGGAGAATAACATAGATTTTATGGCTGATTTCAACAAGCTGTGGCTATGTTGTTGACAAGTGTTTTGTGCCAGCCGCCGTGGAGAGGTTCATCCCCAACTTGAGTCACATATTTCGTCACATCACACGTGTT